TACAGAAGTTTTTTAAATGCCAAAAGGAAAGCCAAAAATAATTTTAGAACACCCAGAACAATGTCAAAAAAGCACTCAGAAGAGGTTGACCATTAGGGAAACTTGTTACACTGAATCATTAGATCAACTGCTTTTAACCTAAAGTTCTGGGGATATACTTTTACAGTGGAAAGGGATGGCAAGTATAATGCTATTATAATTGGCCAAAAGAATGTGGGCCTGGGAAGGAGGGCAGAGAAAGGCAGGTACCCTTGTTAGGCCCTCTGTCACAGTTCCCAGGCGAAGCCCTGAAGTGAGTAACCCCGAGGTTCAACAGTATGTCGTATCTTGGGTGCCCTTGAGCCCTCCTAGTTGGGCCCCAGATCTGATCTGTCTTGGGTCCCGCCCACCTAGAGGATGGCCTTTCCAAAGGCTGACCTGTTGTTTGTGTGGTCGTTTGAGAGATGGCCAGAATTTTCTCTAGGGTGTATTCTACTGTAGGGATCCAGGTTTGGGGCACGCCTCGTACCTCCTAATTACTTAACTAGAGAAACTCAATTTTACCACACAGATGGAGTCAGGCATGTTTTTCTCTTTCCAAGCAAGTTTGAATCAAAGGGAGGTGTGGTAGAGATTCAGAACTTTGAAGCTGGAAGCAATTGACATTTGGATCCTGGAGGAGGAAGGGGAAGTTTTTGTGGTTCGTGTTTACATTGGCTCAGATAACAGGGCTCAAACAGTTGCGGTATCATCACGCCCTCTGCATCAGCTGCACAGAGCTGGCTAAGTGGGGTCCTAGGGACATTCTTCACCAGCTGACCTTTGTCCTGGCTGTTTCTAACACAAGCACCATTAGCTGCCTTGTAGCTTGGGATATTAAATGTCGGAGAGTGGGGGGTAGGATGGGAGTTCACCAGGTCAGCCTTCTGCTCTGACTCTGAGTATAGCTTAGTGCTGATCATTTGCCAAGAAGTTCTGTACAAGAAGGCCGCGTGACTCGAAATTACTAACACAGGATGGGGCTGCTTGGGGACAAACATATAAGATATGTATATTAAGTACTATAAATTCTTTACAAAACAAAACAAAACAAAACACCCAGAAGGTAACACTTTTGGCGGAATACTGCTGACTTCATGTACTTACTCACTGAGGCCAGCTGTGTGCTGACGCCATTTTGATCCTAACACTGGATACACTTAACGCTGGAACTCATCTTTGAAAACGGTCTTAGGGGACTTGTTACATTCCTTTATATATTATCAATGGTGAGTCTTCATTCTTGGAGGATGTATTTGATTTGAAGAAAGAGCCAAAAGTCATTATGACCTCATTATGGTAGGTAATTTGGCAGAGAATTATTGTTTTTGGTGAAAATAATTATAAAACCTTTCTTCCCCCTCTCTAGCATCATCTCTCCGACTGACATCATAGAGTCTAAGATTTTTAGTTTTGGAAAGATTAGGAGAAATAATGTAAGGCATTCCAAAAGAACTTCATGTTGAATGATATTTGGACAATCTAAACTCAGCTCTGAATTTGGAGTATCAATATCATCTATTCAGGGACTATTAAAAAAGAATGGTATTTCAAGCCAATACAATTAGTAATACTAATATTTGTGCAATGCTTCTAACTTTTCAGAGGGCCTCTGGAACCCATATTTAGTGGTTGCCAAGTTACAATGAGGCAATATTTGATTGCAGCAGCAATTTTTAACCCCTTCAAGTATAGTTAAAGAGAGGGGCTTAAACTAATATTTGAAATACTTGGTGCCCTGATTGGGTGAGAACTGGTGAAGAAAACCTTGATTATTTTTTAATATATTTTCGTATTTTATGGTGAAATGCTTAGGAATCTGCGCTCAGGAACCAGCTTGCCTGCGTTCAAATCTTATGTCCATTGCTTACTTAGCTCAAATTAGCATCTTGGAACCTCAGTTTACTTCTCTGCAAAATGAGAATAATAATAGCACCCACCTCAGAAATTTTTTGATTATCAAATGAATTTAAGGTATACAGATTTCACATAGTAAAGCGCTCAATGAATCTTAATTGTAACTACTATTAGTATAATTATTTCCCAAACCACAGTATAAAATAGGCAGAGCAGGTATTCTGAACTCCAATTTTATTTAATTGGCACAATAATCGTGACTGTGAGACATGAAAATGCCCAAAGAATAAAGTGTAAGAGCATGAAACTTCCTAAAACTCCCTGCCTACAAGATAGATTATAACAATAAGATCTGTTTTTCTTTTCTGTTATTCTATTTTTATTCTGTTTTTCTAGTGAGCTCTCAGTTTTAGAACATCATAATTAAACTGGAATTTCTAAACTCTGTTTTTATCAGTTGCTTCTTCCCTAGTCAGGGCATTTCTGAAAAGGTTTAATGAATGCCAATGTTTTAAAATTATCATAAAAGTAATGCAGAAGATGTATATCACATGTATTTTCTACCGTAGTTCATTCAGAATTGATGAAAATGGCCACACATTCCTTTCCCAGAGTACATTCTAGAAAATCTTTTAGGATTTTGGTGATGCAGATAAGTGGAAAGGTCTTCGTCAATTTTTTTAATCTGGAGCTTACGTAGCAGAATTGAAGTATCTGACTATACATGATATCCTCTTTTCAGCCAAAATGCCATCATACTTAAAGTAATGCCTTGTGATGAAGAACAAGTCATTTAATTATTCTGGATAACCTTTAGTCAAGTTATTCAACTGTGAAATCTAAATTTTCTCATCAGTAAAATGGGGTTAACAAAATAACATTAAACTGAGAGAGAGGATATGTGAGTGTTATGTATAAACAATCTGCCATCGGGGCGCCTGGGTGGCGCAGTCGGTTGAGCGTCCGACTTCAGCCAGGTCACGATCTCGCAGTCCGGGAGTTCGAGCCCCGCGTCAGGCTCTGGGCTGATGGCTCAGAGCCTGGAGCCTGTTTCACATTCTGTGTCTCCCTCTCTCTCTGCCCCTCCCCCGTTCATGCTCTGTCTCTCTCTGTCCCAAAAATAAATAAACGTTGAAAAAAAAAAAAAATTTTTAAACAATCTGCCATCATTTGTATAAGTGTCTCCATGAGGGAGTTAACTGTTCTGAAAAACCACAGGTGATACCTGGCTTATTCAAGCTCTCAATAAAGACGAGCTGCTAATATTAGTATTAGTATTATTACTACTACTATGATGACCACTGCTGCCTTTCAAGATCTCATTCAGGGGCACCTGGGTGGCTTAGTTGGTTGAGTGTCAGTGTCAGTTGAATCCTTTGGCTTAGGTCAGGATCCCAGGGCCACAGGATTGGGCCCCAGGCCAGGCTCTACGCTGAGTGTGGAGCCTGCTTGAGATTCTCTCTCTCTCTCTCTCTCTCTCTCTCTCTCTCTGCCCCCTCTCATGCTCTCTCTCTCTCTTTAAAGAAAAAAAAGATCTCATTCAAATATGAGCTCACTCTCCTTCCCCAGCCCTAACACGTGATTTATTCACTAATCACAAGATGCTGTATTTTATTGTATGCACGCATAACCCAAGAGCTTAGAAGGATACATGCACACTTTAAGAAGTTCCCTTCTACTGCTCCAAATATTAGGACTTGTGCATACTTATGAATGTAACCAGGAACAGAGCCCAATGTGGGGCTCGATCTCATGAACCATGAGCTCATGACATGAGCCAAAATCAAGAGTTGGACGCTTAACCAACTGAGCCACCCAGGCCACCCCAAAGGATTGAGTTAAATCTATAGATCGCTTTGGATAGTATTGACATCTTAATAATATTAAGTCTTTCAAATCATGAATATATGGCGTCTTTCCATTTATTTGTATCTTCTTTAATTTCTTTTATCAATGTTTTATAGTTTTCAGTATGTAAGTCTTTCTCCTCCTCGGTTATTCCTAAGTGTTTTATTCTTTCTGATTGAAAGTGGAATTATTTTCTTAATTCCCTTTTGGGATTGTTTATTGTGAGTGTTTAGATACACAGCTAATATTTGTGTGTTGATTTTGTATGCCACAATTTTGATGAATTTGTTTATTAATTCTAATAGTGTGTGTGTGTGTGTGTGTGTGTGTGTGTGTGTGTGTGTAATCTCTGGAAATTTTTACATATAAGATTATGTCATCTGCAAACAGAGGTAATTTTACTTCTTCCTCTTCAATCTGGATGCTTTTTATTTCTTCTTCTTATCTAATTGCTTTGGTTAGGACTTCTAGTACTATGAGAATAAAAGTGGCTAAAGTGGGCATCCTTGTCTTGTTCCTTATCTTATAGGAAAAGTGTTAGCTGTGGGCTTCTTATATATGGTCTTTATTATGTTGATACAGTTTTCTTCTACTCTCAGTTTGTTGAGTGTTTTTTATCATATAGGATGTTTAATATTGTCAAATGCTTTTTCTTCATCAGCTGAGACTATTATGTTATTTTGTCTTTCATTCTGTTAATTTGGTTGGTATATTGCATTGATTGATTTTCATTTGTTGAACCATCCTTGCATTCCAGGATAAAAAGCTCCCTAGGTCATCACTATGATCCTTTTAATGTGCTGTTGAATTCTTTTTTCTAGGATTTGGTTTAGGATTTATGTGTCACTATTCATCAGGGCTATTGGTCTATAATTTTATTGTAGTGCCTAGCTTCAGTATCAGAGTAATGCCAGCCTCATGAAATGAATTTGGATGTTGTTACTTCCTCTTCAACCTTTTTGATGAATTTAAAGACGATTACTTTAGTTCTTCTTTTAATGCTTAGTAGAATTCACTAATGAAGCCACCTGGTCGTGGGATAGCAGTTTTTTGATTAGCAAGTTTTTTGATTACTGATTCAATTTTCTTACTCATTATTGGTCTGTTTAGATTGGGGGGGGCGGTGCTGAGAGGCTGCTCCCCTTTTATTATTGACAGAGGTTTCTCTAAAGGGAGTGTAACACCCCTCTCCTGTGGGACCACTGTCCAACCTGTGCATCCTCCCTTCAAGTACCCTCTCAGAAGAAGAGCCCCTGCATCCGCCTGCTGATGCCTTGTCAATCATAGAGGACGTTGAACTTGTTCACAAACTGGTTCATGGTGTTGCACGTTTTGCTGATGGTGCCAAGGTAGGCCACGAGCCCCACGTCATTACATTGATCGTAAAAGTCTGTCTTGAACTTGTCTGTGCTGAACACTGGGAGGCAGTGACACAGAGCATAGGCCTCCCGCAGGATTTCTTGATTAAAGGGGACCTCCCCTGCTTCAGAGGCCTTGACGTATTCCCAGATGAGCTTGACCCGGCTGTGCAGCATCTTAATGGCACTGTGTTGCTCTATCAGGTGTTCAGCCACAGTGGAGTTCTCCCCACGGCCTGTGGCTGTCACTCGGGCTACGTGGTTTACACCCATGCGTTCAGCTTCCTCTCTGGCCAGAGTGTAGGTCAGCTCAGCAAACAACATTGTGGCCTCTCCATTGATTATATCGATGACAGACTCAAAAACACTGATGGGAAGATGTGTGTGCCTGGTCATAGGGTTCAACTTCAGAAAGAGAGGGCTCTCGATGATCTTGCACGCCTGCTTCTGGACGTGGATGTCAGAGGGGTCAGGCGGCCCCCCGGGGGTATACCAACCCAGAAACTCCAGCTCCTTGAACACCTGTTTGAACTGCTCTTCCTTGGTGTAGTAACACTCCTTGTCAATGATAATCTTCTCTTCCACGGCGTGGGACAGCAGCTCAAAGGAGTTCATCACCTTGATATTTCGGCCCTCCTGTTTCCTGATCAGAGCCCCAATCACCTGCATAGGCCGCCCCTCCTGGGAGCGCATACGAATCCAATGGTCTGAAATGTTGAGAATGACAAGGGGATGAAGAGGACTGAGACGCTCCCTGTCACGCCGGAGGCCATCACGCTGGGGACTACTGCTGCATCCACCTCCATCCCCGCTGTTCCCTCCGGTGCTGTTCGCCGCCACCGCCATTTTCCCCGCGCCCGTCAGCCTTGGCCGCGGTCTGTTTAGATTTTCTAATTCTTCATGATTCAATCTAGATAGGTTGTGTGTTTCTAGTGACTTGTCCATTTCATCAAGGTGATCCCATTTATTGTCATACAACTGTTTTATGGTAGTCTCATAACCCCTTTTATTTCTGTAAAACTGGCTGTAATGTCCATTAGTCATCATATTTTTATATTTACCCTATCCAATGCCTGCCCAAGTTGGGATACTTGGTAGCCATTTAAAAAGAGAACGTAAAAGAGAAAATCACCGGACCCTTCGAGCCATGTGGACAACCTATCATGGGTAACTTCACTGAGAAGGGATAGACTTGGAGAACGAGGCCACCACCAGGAGGTCTTCAGGTCAGAACTTGGGCTAGCAGGAAAGGGCTCCCAGGGCTGGCCCTGAGTGCGGGGTGATGACTCTCTGTGAGATGTCGCAGAGTCTTCAGGCAGGGTGTGGATCAGGGAGACATAGTGGTCTTGCCCATCATGGAGCCCAGAACCTGCAGAGTGAACTTGACTTGACCATGAGTGCCAGTGGATCTAGCATGCTTCCTGAGCCCAGCTTGAGCAGTTCTTTTCACACAGCTACAGAGATGACTAAACGTATTGTGTAGTAATCCACATGGGAGGTTGTCTGGCAGGGGCAAAATCTGTCTATCACTGTGTTCTTGGAGAAGTAGAGTCCAGGCGAGGAATCTCTTAAGTGATCTTTCTTGGGACAGGGTGGGGCACTCTGACTTCTTGCCCTTTCATAGTTCTGACCAGGAAGAGCTATAGAGAACCACACATAGTACATAAATGTTGAGAAGGCATGGCCAGCTTTGTCTCACGGTTGGTCTTCCTCCAGCAGCTTTGAGCCTCCTCTCACAAAAGCAATTCCGTAATCTGAGGGAGCATGCCTTATTCCCTGCTATGGACAGCCAGAGTAGGCAGGCTGTTGTTTTTATGTAAAGGGCTATTCTACTTGCCCAGCACGATTTGAGACACTCATTTGCAGTTCTTCCCTTCCCATCAACCCCGACCCCACCAAGAATCTCTCCTTACCACCTACGTTAGCTCACTTTTGCACATTCCCCACATCTAGTGCAGTGCTTGGTGCTTAGCAGGTGTTTGACAGATAGGTGCTGGATTCCTTCTATTACTGTAGTCTTTCCACAGTGCCCTACTTGAGGGAAGATGGAGAAGGGGCACATTCTCTGCTGCGATCATAGAGACCGAAGGGAAATGTGTGTGTCAATGAGTATTTCTTCTATTTCCTTCTTCTCATTTTTATTCAACTACCCAGAGACCAGCATTCTCATTTGAGGTGTTTTGAGAAGCAAGCAAACACAGCAGATGACAGGCAATGCTAGCTAACAAATTTTTTCCCCTTCAAAGCAGGTTAGTAGGTTCAAATAAAATACACTGAAGAGGCATTACATGAAAACAAAACGGAAACTGTGAAGTGCAAGCTGATATTTTTAGAAGTTTGTATAATGACAGGTCAGATTCCTGAGGATTAGCCAAAGTGGCAAATCTAACACCACTTATTCAAAAAGGGGTAAAAGATATAGCAGGCAATTATACTTTAGCAGCAGTTGCAGGGGGAAATCAACTCTTCTTGAACTTACTGAGGGGACAGCTTGAAAAGTGTAATTTGAATATAGATAGCCAACTAGAAGGTTTCTATGAGGAGGGGGTTGGGAAGCTGGAGGAAAGGGAAGAGGAAAGGAAGGGGGTTGCCAGGAGTTCATTATTTTCATATTTTAAAGCCCTGCACAGTTTGAAAGGATGATTGCCAGAGGGGACCAGGAAAATTAGTGGTTGTTTGATTCAGGATCAATTTTCAAATCTGCCCAGTTTATAATTGTGCACCTCTCCCTGTCATCACTCATGTGATTCAGGCTCCAGATGTTCAGGGTTGAAATGTCCCCAGGGCTCACCACCTCCTTGGTATGCCTCCGGGCCTCTCTGTCTTCCCCCACCAAACAGTTTTCCCCTGGACTTATTTATTGATATCTGGAATGCCTGCATGGGGACTTAGAAATAAGAAGTGAAAAAGAAACACTTAAAACACGGGGCTCAGGCTTAATGTGTATCACCTTTGCAAGAAGTGACATAGATTAAATCCACACTGAGACATGAAGGGCCAGGATCCTGCTCTTTTCCAAGAGCAGATCTTTGTGAGGACAGAGTTCTGAGATTCCCAGGAATGAGAAAGATGAAGGAGGGGCTGGATCACAGAAGACAAATTTGGATAACCTGACAGTTTTAATTAGAACTCACCTGCATTTGCTGTTTATCATTCCTGACTTTAAAGATAATGGGAGAACTTCAGAACTGGAAAGAATCTTTAAGATCATCTGGCACAGCCTTACTCAAACTGGGTTCAGCAGACTCTTGGGATCCACAAACATATTCTTAGTCTACAAGTTTTTTTATGAGATTTAAAATTTGTCTTCTCACTCTGATGGTGATATAAATATATTATCAGAGTATCAAAGGCATCTGAATGCAGATCCAGAGTTATGTGATCCTAGGACAGTGTTTATGGTTTTTTTGGAGGGGAGGGCACCACCCAAAGGGAACTTGTACTTGGGCTTGTCCAGCTGGAAGCAAGTTGGTAGGTCCTAATATCACAACGACAGCTACCAGCCTCTGTTCTCTGTATACTCACACTGAATTCTTTACCAGCAATAAACACAAGCCTTATTTGCCAAAGATAATTTACAATTAAGAGACATTTTCATAGACTATGATTTTTGTCCCTAAAGTTTTTTTTTAATAAATTAAGACTTTGATTTGACATCATGGAAATGACATACTATAACAGATGGCTAATGAAAAAGAACAGAGTCAGGTTTAATAGATGAATTATGCATTTCATAAAGTTAAGATGAAATACTATCATGGCACACTGTCTGAATGAAAGTTTCCAGTAATTTTAAGAGAAGAAAGTGATATGAGAAGTTTGTCATCACATAACACACAGAAATATAAACATATCAATCAATCCCCAAAGTAACTGAGTTGTAGCCTTCATCACCCTGTTCATGTTGGGGATAACAATTTAGTTTCTGCCAAACAGCATTACTTATTATCTTAAATTAATGACTTTTATTGTCTTTTGGGTTTTGTTTCTATTCACTTTGTGAATATGCCTTTGTAGTTATTTAATACTTATAAAAAGTGATGCTGAATTTTATATTGGTACAAAACATATAAAAATATATTAACATTGGGTGTTTACAAATTTTTTCTCCCCCACGACAAGGAGTCTGAATATAACTTATCCTTGAGTAACACTAATCTGGTTCTTTGTTCTTATTTAAAAAAGTGACCTTTCAGTATTATGGGTATGTCTCAGTGTTGGAACCTCCACAGTCTTTCCAAAGAAAACTCAACCATCCTCTCCACCTATATATAGGTTATTCTATATTCCGCCCAGTGTTGATTGCTTTTTCCCTATTCCTACGTTTGCTTCTTTCACTCCCCCAGATTCCCTCAGTGTTCCTACGTCAACCATAGCAAACTTCTGCTCATGTTTCAAGACCAGCTTATTGAAGGCTGCTCTTCTGGAAAGCTGTTTTTTCCAATACCATCAAGCAGTTTTCCAAGTCTCAGTGGATACTGACTGGGTGTCCCACAAACTTCACCCAATTCTCCCACTACCTACCTGGAGATAGCATCAGATCCCACAGGTTAAGGGCTCAGCCCTAAAAGGCTGCCCCCACTTCAGACACCATCACAGATCCAAGTTGTCACCTGACTGACTGGCTATAAATCACAGGTTTCCATGACCCTCTTTTCAGGCTGGATTAATTTGCTACCATGGCTCAGAGAACTCAGGAAATCAGTTTACTTACTAGATTATTGATTTATTATAAAAGATATTAAAGTATCTGAATCAGTTGTCAGATGAACAGATATATAGGGTGAGGTTTAGAAGAGCCCCCAACACAGGGGTTTCTGTCCCCCCCCCCCCCCCCCCCCCCATGGAGTTTAAAGTGTGCCACCCTCCCAGCACATGGACATGCTCTGATTCACCAACCTGGAAGTTCTTTAAACCTGTCTTTTTTTTTTTTTTTAATGCCATTTCATTACATAGGCATGATTGATTAAACGTTTGGCCATTGGTGATTGAACTCAAACTCCAGCCCCTTTCCTCTGTTTGGAGGTTAGGGATGGGGCTGAAAGGTCCAGCTCTTTAATCATAGTTCCACTGGGAACCAACCCCATCCTTAGTGCCTTTCCAAAAGTCACCTCATTAACATACTCAAGTATGGTTCAAAGAAGTTTGTTATAAATAACAGGACACTCCTTTCACCTTTATGGCTCTGGAGCTATTTTAAGAATCAAGGACAAAAGACCAAGTACTACAACAAAAGATGCTCACATTTCTCTTATCACTCAGAAATTCCAAGGGTTTTAGGAGCTCTGACTCAGAAACTGGATGAAGACCAAATATATATTTCTTACTATAAATCACAATATCACAGAAGCCTTCCTTCTTTTCCCGGTGTGGTGAGTGGCTCTCTCTGTGTTTGCCACAGCTTTCAGTTTCTATGTCTCATGCCACACCCTTCATGAGACATTGAACATATCTACTTACTCTCTAAACTTCTGACTTGCGCTCACCTTGAGGAGCCTAGCCTTACTCATCCACGATTCTAGTCTGTGGCTCATTGTCAATTTTTAATAAAAGTCTATTAAGTAAGTTAGACCTCTCTATATTAAAACAATACATCCTAATGAAACTGATCATCACCCCATGAGGCACAACCTCTAATGTCACCCTTGCAAGATTTTTAGGAGACATTACCTGCTAGATTTATTTTTACCGAATTAGAGCATGAGAAGAATAAGACAGAAACAGAGGAAAATTTTGCCAACAAGACATTAGAATCCCTGGAATTTATATGCAGAGGTGGGCAGGAGGCTATCTCCAGGGTCAGCTTTTGACCTTCCCATTTATGTTGGAGGAAGAAGGGTTGGAAG